ACCATTCAGAATACAATAATACATCCCTTCTTTGAAGAATTTCAAAATGCTGTTCTGCAGTCAGGTAAGCAGTCTGTTCACATGACAACAGAAGAGATTTCCAAATGTAATACAAACACAGTAACACAAACGGTCAGGGCCTGAACTCTGCCAAGAATAAATAGAAGAGGGGGCAGTTTTACCTAAAGACCACAGGTACATTTTAGTGCAAGATGAACACACTGTGCAAATACTAAGTGCACACAAAGTGCAAATAAATTCAGGTAGTGCAGACAAATGTGGACTAGCATCCACATTTTCAAGCACAGATCATAGTGAATGCTATTCGGGTTACAAGGGTCAATACTAATTGGCTAGTGATACCAGCGACTTGTATTTCAGCAGCAGGGACTCATTAAGCACTGTGAGAACCTCCCCACATATTCAAAAAGCATTAATGCTTCTGAATCACAAGTGGCTTCTACAGTACCTATTCAGAAGTCAATAAAGCAATGCACTTTTCTTCATTTAATGCAACACATGGAATAAAGGAAGAATATAGATTGTGTCTACAGTTTTGTCACAAGCAAGCTTCCTGCAGACATGGATGGGACAGTCTGGGATTACACATAAACAGAAGACTGTTTTATACAGGACTTGTGATGCTACTAGAAGTCTTGCTACAGTCTTCAGTACTAAATTCCCCAGTGGAAGTGCTTCTGCCTTATGAGACAAGAAATTTTTTCTCACCTGTTTACTTGAGTCTTAAGATCCCATAAAATTTAAAAGTAAACACCAAAGGCTTTTTGATCATTACCTGTTTTAACAAAATTTAACTTTTGCCTGTATGGAAGAAAATTTCTGAACCGAGAATTTTCAGGATATCAGAATGCAACTTTTGGGACTTCCCTAACAGATCAAGCCACCAAATTCTGTTTAGATAAGAAGCTTTCAAACAAGACTTTTAGATTCAAGATCCACTAAAAACAAGTCAAATTTTGCCCTTCCTGACTGCTGCCCTGCCTCAACCTCTCACTCAAGTCACAAACTGAGGCTGGAGTCCTGATTCAGATGCAAATCGGATTTGCACCAGGATGCACTACCAGGCCTGAAGCAGAAGAATATCACCTAGAGCAACATTTACGAGAGCAACTCCAATGTACTTAGAAAATTCAGAGACAATTTCCAATGTTCTTAAAGTTATCTCAGCACACTTGTTCTTCCTGGACCAATAAACCAGAAGTCCAACTTCTTTTGCATCAGTATTAACATACGCAACAAGTGAGGGGCTCAAATCACTTAACCAGATTTTTACTGCATGCACTAGAAGAAAGTTTCAGTACTGTTATACATTCAGCACAAGCCACTGATGTCAGAGTAGATTCTTGTACTACTACACAACATCCAGGAACTGTATTTACATGAAAGCAAAATTTATAGAACATTCTCACTTTAAGTAAAATATCCAATCTTCACCAAATATACATTTGGAAAAGTATTCATGCCATTTCTTCGGGGATTTCAGAAGTATTGACACAGCATTCAAGCCCCTATCATCACACCTCACTTGTACTCCTCTGGTTTTACAAGGCAATAGGGAAGCTTGTTTCTGAACTTGTGGTGGGTTGACCTTGGCTTGACACTTGGTGCTCCCTGATCAATGCTATTACTCCCTCCTCAGCAGGCCAAGTGGAGAAAATAAGATGGAAAAAACTCATGTGTCAAGATAAAGGCAGTTTAATAAAGTAAAGGCAGAGGTCATTGCAAGAAACAAAGGACAACAAAAAACTTACTCCCTACTTTCCATCAGCAGGTGACGTCCAGCCACTTCCCAGGACGCAGGGCTTCAGTAAGCATAGGGATTGCTCCAGAACACAAGTGTCACAGTAAGTGGCACAGAGTTGTGTACAGAATGTCTGGGAATTTTCCCAACATAAATGTTTCATTTCTCACTGAACTTAAAGTACAGAAATGCTCTGATTAAACAGACAAAAGTAAGTTATGTAAATTGAACATGTTAAAATAAGTACTAGTTAGCTTTCATAAAAACATACTTAATACCACAAGCACAGCTGCACTGGACAAAGCCATTACATTTGTTCAATTTTTTACATATTTCAAAGCTTCTAAAATGCTTCAGCTGAAAACAGAACATAAGTTATTTTTTATTAAAAGGTCTAAAGAGTAACACATATACAGAGTTTTTCCAAACTGAACACAGCAGGGTTGAAAGCTCCTGATGCAGGCAGAAAAGGCGTTCCTACAGAAGGGAGAAGTGCTGCTGCAGTATAATAAAGAACACTGACAGCCATATACATGTGCATGTCAGTGGCCAAGTTAAATCCAGCCGACAACACACAGTACTATGTTTTGAAGTAGATCATGACAAAGTTCCAAGAACACAAAAAGAATTAGTCATTTCTCTACAAGTCCTCATAATCTCATTTATGCCAGAAAACCTGGGTAAGAGAAAAGGCTTCTTCCTTCTACATCCTCACACTTCAAGACTTCTGGAAGTGTTAATGCCATCTTGCCATCCACTTAACTTCTGCAATATCACCATATACTATTTAGAAGTGGTATTAGGGAATTATCCATATTTCTTGTCCAAAATTAAAAAATATTGGTATTTATCACTTTGTCTTTTTACTCCCACAAACACTGGAATTCACTTTTAACAGTGCGTCTCTACCCAAAAGTTCAGAAGCTCAAGATGTTCTAAACATCTTACACAAAAAGCCATACCACTAACTTACCTTACTTCACAGTCTGCACCTCCATTGCTTGTTGTATTTTGCTTTGTTTTGAGCAAGCTATTTCACACCACTCTTAATTTGGAAAACTTTCTATGAAAGCTCACAAATTCCCACTGTTATTCAGAGAATACAAGATGACTACCAAAAATATGACAGTCACAACTCACATGATTTAAAACAAGCTGTTTTATCCTCTTCTTCAGTTTAATTTACCACAAGCCTTCACACAGAGGTGTTTACCTGCTTACACAGCACCTTGCTCTGTGGTACACTAATGCTTCCTATGGAGACAATACATCTGCAAATCCAACAGTCCAGAGAAATCCAGTGCTGAATGAGTTTCTGAAGCTGAACACAGTAAGTAAGAAAGTCTGAAGGCAATACAGAACTGCAGCTCCTCAAGAGCAACTCCAATATACTTAGGTGAGTAAATAAACAACCATTCATACTCCACACAAGGCCCCCTTACTCAGATATTACCAGCTCAAGTCACCTTTGCCTTCAGTCCCACGGGGCTGAGGGAAGAAAGCTAATCCAGAGGATGGAAGGAGCACAGGCAATGCCTGTCACCCTTTCAGAAGTCAGATCAAAGCTTTCTTACTAAGCAGCAGCAAATTATTATAAAATTAACTTGATTTCCAAGTGACTCTAAGGAGCTAAGATTCCTAATCAGGTAATGAAGACATGTCTACTTTGCCATTACAGTACCTGTATTTTGTCCTATCCCTCACACACAAGTAGTCCTCATGACTCAGAATGCCTGTCATGAAGCAAAGATGCAAAAAGGTATTGAGAAGCTTGCGCAGCTATCAGGGGATGGCTTCCAGACAGCAAGTAAGGCACAACTGATCCTTGGTAATAGCACTGTCAGGAAGAAGTTCTTGGTAGCACAGTCACATGCTACTTTTAGCCAGATCAGAACAGAATCCCTTCTGGAAAACCTAAACTACAGATTCTGTCAACCCTCTATTCCCTGCTTTTCCCCTCTCTAAGTCAGGAAAAGCACAAGTAGTCTATCCGCAAGAAATGGTCAAAGTAATTTCTGAATTAGTGAAGTGAAAATAAAGCAGTGAAAGAAAATGTTCAACATCCAGTATTGCTACCTATGTAGGATAAGGAAGACACTAAGAAAATCTGTCATTTTAACTGCTCCTAAACCATAGGCTTTCCCAGAAGACTATACAGCAAGTCAAAGTTGATGAGAAAACTAAGTATAAATAAGTTGCTGTGCTGGCCAGAACACAAGCATCCAGAGAATATTCTTAGAATTATCCTTGATAATGCACACAATAGAACAGTTAATGGAAATCATCACTTCAGCAGGATATAAAATTTCTCTTTTCAAAAAGGCACTCATTGTGTAAACTGTCCTATGAACAATAACCCAAACATCTGCACTAACAAACAGATGATAAATAACACTCCTCCTTATTCATGGCAGGAGCCATCTGTTCATCTAGCTAATCCAACTAACCCCAGGCAAGTGTGGCGAGCACAGCCACCACAACTTGCTGATTTTACACATCTTCATACTCCATGTTTCAGTGCATGTTATTTGTGTTTCCAAACTGCAGTAACATGGCATTAACCATACCACTAGAAGTCTTAAACACACACACCTACAATGAAAGGCTCCAAACACCAAAGAAAATTACCTCTGGTCTTCAATTAAAGAACACAAGTGGACCACAGCCTTTCATGCATGGGGATGCCAGACTGACTACAGAAACTACATCCTCATCCTGTTAAGACATATTTTTCTTTTCTTCCTTGCTATTCTATACTATTTTTTTTTATGCTTAGTCTACTTGTTCTTTCAACTGAATGCAACTTTTTAAGAGAACACTTTATGGAGTTTACACAGTGGATTCTATCTAAAACTCCCACTAAATTTCCACGGGTTAGCCCTTGCATACAGGAATACTTGAGCAGGTCCTGTTATTCCGAAATTCAGTGGCTTTCCTTAAGTGCAGATCTTTTCATGCATCTTACCCATGCAGCTCCATCAGCTCCCTACTCTCACTACCGTTAACTCCAGCACCTCACTCCCTTGCTGCCGCTGGATTCCCTCGTGCGGTGGCAAGACCCCGGTGCCCCCCGTACCAAACAAACCCGCCTGCTTCGGCACAGACGCATTTTACTGTGCTGAAACCTGGTGTGGGCAGGGTCGGGAGGAGAGGGAGAGGGACCAGAGCCCTCCCTGCCCACGGCTGCGGGGTGTGCGGGTTGCCGCCTGGAAAGGGAGAAGCGGGGACCGCTCCGTACCTGACCCAGTTGTCGCGGAACTTGCTCTGCTGGGGCTGGTTCAAGTAAATGGTGCGGGCTGGTGCCTCGTCCAGATCCGCCGCGGACGTGGCTCCGGACATCTCATCATCCGCCTTCTTATAGCCCGATGTTGAACAGACCGGTCCTGCAGGGAGAGCGCGGAGAGGAGGCGGTCAGCCAGGAGCCGCAGCCTACCGGGGGCCGGGGCCGAGCTCTCGAGGAGGGGCCGCGCCGGCGGGGCCGCACGGCGCCGCGGGAAGGGCCGCGGGTGGGCGGGAGCCGGCGGGAGCCGACGCCCTGCCCGGTGTTTTACCACGGGGCGGCGGCTGGATAAATAATTGGCCGGGCAGGGGAGGGGGCAGCGCGGCCGTCGCAGGGAGCTGGCGCGGGACAGCCCGGCCCGCGCCCCCCGCCCCGCGGGGATGGGCCGCGCCCCGCCCGGCAGCACCGGACCCCGCCCCGCCTGGGCCTTCAGCGCCAGCCCCGCGCCGCGCGGGAGCCGGCGGGTGGTGTCCAGCGGCCGTATCCCCCGCCTTCCAGCCTTGTAGCTCCGGCGAAGGGGAAAGCGTGGGGGGATGGGCACCAGCAGCCAACCCGCCACCGCCGCGGGCTCGGTCCGTCCCGCTCCCTTGGCGGCTGCCTGCCCGGCGGGCAGCGCATCCCGGGCGGCCGAGGCCCGGAACCGCGCTCAGGGAGCGGCGCATCATCCCCGCCAGACCTCGCCCAGGCCCCCGCGGCGGGACCGAGCGGCCTTCCGCCCGCACCGTGCGGGGTGGCCATCGGCCGGGGCTGGCTTGGGAGTCCGTACTCAAAGACAAGACTCAGTTTTAGACTGAAAGGAGAAAAAGACTGTCTTGCTTTACACTTACAGTTTCAAAGCTTCGACTTGAGGCTTCTTCAGCTTATTTTCATCTCCAGCTGCTCTGGAGTGAATTGAGCTCTATAAGCATTGTTTAGCTTTGCATTAAAGGAATGGGAAAACATGAGGGAAAGGAGCCAGCTATTTCCTCTGTCAAGCCTCAAAACATTAGCACGTTGTGGAGACAGGTTTATTGCTTTCCCCTTCCATTCTAAGCCACGGAGATAGTTTGACTTACTTGAGCTGTAAATATATTAGATAAGAATATCAGTTTATTCAATAAGCCATAGATTTACAAGTTAGCAGAGCTGGCTCTAGAGAAGAATAAGACTACTTATTTTGTAATAATCTATTAAAGGTGTTATGTTAGGGTTATTTGAAAGGTTCATTCAAAGGTTAACATTTAGAAGCAACTGCTGTAAAGCCAAATCTATTTCTGATTTCTGTATAAATTCAAAATCATACTGCAAAAGAAGCTGATCTGATCAGATAGTGGCTAAAAAGGACTCTTGCAATGAATAGGAGAGCTCCCTGAAATTATGTCATCCTTAACTAAAGCTTGAGAGAAAACCTTCCATCCTACACAGCCTTAATATATTGAGCACTTAAGTACTAGTACTGTGTGAAAACTTGTCCCATTTAAACACAATATAGTTCTAAGCTAACAGCTTACTCATCGCAGACTTTCTCAGTGATTGATTCTTTATTGCTAGTGCAAACAATGCTCTATATCTCCTCTAGCTGTCAGCCACTGGAGGGCAACGTTACCCATTCATAGTAGGATACAGTCAAGCACACAAACTTTGTGGTGCTAGTAGCCGGCCAATAAAGGTAATGCAATTAACACACTGATGTGCTTTCAACTTGCCAAAGGCAAGCGTTGCACACTGTGAATTCACACTTTGGAGACATTAAGCTGACTTGTAAGTATGAGGCTAATTAATTGATAACTCATTTCAGTTGAAACTAATTCAGAGAGCAAAAATATGCCAACCGGATCATTTTTATATTGTGAAAAAGGACATAAATTCAGAAAGTGAAATATGAAGACTATACACCATGCAAGGCAATGCCATTATGATACTATATTAGGTTATTCAGCCTAAAGAAGCTTGCCACAACAGCTCAACCTTGCTGAGTATTCTCCCCTTCAAAAAAAACAGAACTAAGAGCACTACTGGATACTTGTCCTTTCCCATTGATTCCATGTTGCGTAACTGCAAAGGAGATCAAACAACACTCTTAAGAGCATTAAGTGCAAGGAAGCTTTCATCTGTTTTCCTAGTCAGGCTCCAAAACAGAAGCACAATTATTCTAGAAAAACATGCTGTAAAAATTGCTGGTTTTTTCCAAAGACCTTATTTGTTTTGTTTTTCATATATCCCTCTGATGCTTGAAGTTCTCCTGATGACTAGTTCTCCTCTCCACGAAGTATTATGAAGCTGTCCCACAACTTTAAGGATTAACTGAGTCAATACAGCTGATAAAGTTCAGAGTTATTTAGGTTTATTTAACAAACTATGCTCTTGGCTACTTTCTCCAAGACAGGTACTGCAAGGAAAATTTGCCTTACTCTTTGAATGCACTGAAATATTTTCAAAGCAGACTTGTGAGTGTGTAGAAACAGCTGCAAAAAGGTTTTTGTTTCTCAAAGTGGCTCAAGCTGCTTCAACTCTAAGTGGAATAACGCTCATTTTGGAAGATTATCCAGTAATCCTGCCCATCAGGAATGCCTTTCACCTCCCTCCCCTGTTACTAAGCAGATCACACTAAAAAGCCTGCAGACAGCGACCTTTACTACTGGCTGTAGATGCTTTCCTCTCCCTGCACTTACAAAAGTTAAGGAGCTCTGACCTTCTGGGGGGTTCTGGTGGGCAGCAGTCCCAGGGGTTACACCACCTTCAGAAAGCATCCCCTTCAAGGACACCTGACCACATGCAAACAATCACTTCAGCCATGCAAAAGCAACTTCACCTCTGTTCCTTGTTTCAGAAAAGCTATGGATAAATAAAGCAGACTTGACCACCTTCTACAGTGGTAGAACTTAAAACTGAAGTCTCAGCAGGTTTTATTCATAGTAGTGTTTACTTCCCTAATCCACAGGAATTAGACTCATTGACTTCATTTTAGGGCACACCAGCTTTCCACTCTGGAAAGGTGTCTCTCCCACAAGACCTGCATATTTTCTGTTATTTACCCATGGATTTGCAACTCTGCTCTGAAATTTATCTTGTATAAAACTATTCATGCTTTAATTAGTAGAAATATTAATAGTAGACCGTTGTCCCTTACAGCCTCTTCATTTCACATGCTTAGCTACATCAAATTTTGGATGTTTAACTACATCGATCTTAAGTCTGTATCATAGAATTGTTTAGGTTGGAAAAGACCTTTAGGATCATCAAGTCCAACCATAAACCCAGCACTGACAAGTCCACCACTAAACCATGTCCTGAAGCACCACTTTTACATGTTTTTTTAAACATCTTCAGGGATGGTAACTCAACTACTTAGATCCTTGCAGAGTTTCAGCATTGTCCAATATACCTTGCTTCAATTCTGAGGCATAAGACACTTAGTGCAGGTGTCACACTGTCTCGCACTGCGCTTTCAAAGTTCAATGAGTGAGACCTGAGTTATAAACTCCCTTTTATAAAGCCCATTCATTTCTTCAAGGCTCTTAGTTCACACTATTTAACAAATTTATTTTCTAAAAAAAGATAGGATTAAAGCTTGACAAAAATAAGAAGATTTTATAGCTTTCTCTCATCATAAGAGAAATCAGACTTGATGCCCTGACAAATTCACATGGCATTTATTATCACTTGAAAAGCAATGAATTATGGCTTAATACTCTTACCAGGCCTGCAAAGATGACAGTTTCCATGTGTATCTGTCTCCTCAATGTCTGCTCAGTAATAATCATAGCTTCTGTACGATTAATAAATAAAGTGTTGTGAATTCTGTAGTGTTTTTAAAGTTCCTTGGGATGCTTGCCAACTGTCAGAAGTCACAAGAGAACTCATGCTGAAATTATCACTTTTCTCTTAAGAAGATTAGCCAGCTAGTTACTACTTCTAGCTTGGTGATGTGCTTAATTGCTCTAACACAGGTTCCATTTCTAACAAAGAGCGATAATTGAGCAATTAAGCCCCTCACCACGACAGCAGAACCACAAGCTATGAGAGACAGCAGTTTGTACATGAGAAGTTCACCAAACAGGCTTCTTCGTGTCATTTAGAACCTAAAGCAACATTAAGAGCGTTTATAGCCAGGAATCATCATACTGATTCTGCACACTCTTTGCAGGAGTAGGATCTAGAACAAGAAAGGACACTGAGCTAAAGAAGCTGCCCCCACTAGAGCAGAGTTGGTCTCAGTCTCCAGCAGTCCTTTCTCACTGTGAGAACTCTGCAATTCTAAGCTTATACAATCACAAGTCTAAGTAGAGAGTCCTCTGTATGCCTCCAACTGTATTAAGTTTTGAATAAAGAGACATAAGAAAGACTGCTTTCCTCAGAGCGAGAGAGCCTCACCACAAGCCTCCAAACTGTCATTTACTGAACACATGGCATTTTTGTTATAGGTTAAGCCTCAAAGAAAGAGTTAGCAAAGTGAACACCTGAGAAGGTCAGAGCCATATTTAGGGAAGTGGCAGACAAGTTTTCTCTGCACTGAAATACAAAGTTAGTTCTTAACAAGCCACCTAGCTTTGGTAACACCATTACTTTCTTGGGATAACATTTTTTTCACAGGATTCCTGTCACAAACTGAATATTGAAGAGGACACCAAATGAGGAGTTCTGCAGTTGAGAATTGTCAACAAGTTAATATATTGAACAGTGACTTTGAAGCTTGGCTAAGTGAGCTGGTTTTACCTGAAACCATTCTTTCTTACACTATTTCATTATCTGCCTTCACTATTCAACAGAAACGCACTTAAACGTTAATCTAAAAGTGCATAAGGTAGAAGTTCAAAGAGATAGAGCACAGCATGCTCTCAACAGAAGATGCAGGGCATGAACTTGGCCACCAGGTCCTCTGGGAAAGCTTTGTTCCCACTAGGACTGGAATATCTAAACCTTAAGTTACAACCAGTTCATGTGAAAAAACCTGACAATGCTGTGGCTTTAATTTTTAAGAATTTAGAAAACTTCTACAGTGTTCCATAGTGTAAAATTGTAGGCAAACATTCTGACATACTCATGTCTGAAGAAAGGAAGTTGTGGAAGAATTCACAGTGGAGCTTTTGTTTTCTAGCTCTTCTATTATGAAAAGTACTTTTA